CAGACATTGTCTGTCCTGACCATGTCTCCTGATTAAGTTTTATCTGAAGTCTCAGATCCATTCTAATAACTAAAACTTAGTGGTCATAGCTGAGACCCAAAGCAAAATGAGAAGCTGGTCAAGAGACCCAACTGGGAGGGCATGTTCTTAAAATCCCACAGGAGAGCAGAATCATTCACCTCCATATCCTGCACTTACAACAACATTAACCACAAGCAAATATCCAAACAGCCACTACCCAACAGGAAGAAAAATGTTGTTTTATTTTAAAATGAAGAGGACTTGTTACAATGTTTTAAAGGACTAGCTGATAAGGAATTCAAAAATTGATAAAGTATATATATCTGTGTCATTACCCCTGAACACTGGTGTAAACTTGAAATACTTGTTTTAGCCAAAACTCAGGAGGCAGTTAGGAGAGAAGGACGTTGAAGAACTTTGAGAAACGGAGACCTTTTTCCTTGGAAAGCTGTGTCACTACAAACTGGACTCCAACTTTTCCAAGACATGCAAACACCAGGCTGGGTGTAGTGGCTCATGCCCCTAATCCCAGCATTTTGGGAGGCACAGGCGGGCAGGTTGCTTGAGGCCAGGAGTTTCAGACCAGCCTGGGCAACATGGCAAAACCCCATCTCTACTAAAACATAAAAATTAGCCGGGCATGCTGGTGCACACCTGCAATCCCAGCTATTTGGCTGAAGCTTGAGAATCCATTGAACCCGGGAGGCGGAGGTTGCGGTAAGCTGAGATCACACTACTGCGCTCCAGCCCGGGCGACAAAGCGAGACTCTGTCTCCAAAAAAAAAAAAAAAAAAAAAAAAAAAAGAAAAAAAAAAAAAAAAAAGAAAGAAAGAAAAGAAGAGCAAACACCACTCTCCAGATTCAGACACTAATGTGGTTACAGATAAGCACTTAATAGATTAATGCTAATGCACCTTTAATGACCTTTTCCCTCAGAATTTGCCTCCCTAAAAACAAAAACATATTTACTTACAACATAGGCATGATTTCCTGAACTGAGAAAACAATGTAATAAATCTCATAAAAACCTATAACTGGATTAAGAAACTAAAAACTTTCATGATCCTAGACATTAGGGGAAAAAAGGCACAATACTGAAGAAAACGTCAATACAAAAACACAAAATATTGAAAAAAAATGTGCTTCTAAAAAGTAGCTTTCAATGCAAGCACTTGACCTCATCTTATCCCAGAGCTTTCCAGGAGATGAAATTGCACAGCACACGAAGAATGGAGAGGCCACCAGCTCCAGCCCCAGCAGACCTCAAATCCTTAACAACAGCACGAAATTACCACAATTGCACTCACTTCCAGCATTAGTTTTGAAGACAGTTGTGCTGTGTGTGAATAGTTTAATATTTGGAGATTTTATGCCTTTTTGGTCTTGGATATAATTAGAAGGAGATGAGGGATTTCCATTATGGAAAAGATAATGGATTTGACTACATACAAATTAAACAAACAGACAGAAGTCTGTGCAAGCCAAAAAAGTCTGACCAGCAAAGTTAATTGGCAAATGGTAAACTAGTAAGAGTACCTGCAGTATGTCAATGGAAAGGTTAGGATCACTAATATATAGAAATAGACAGGTGGTTACCAGTGTCTGAGGAGGAGGAAGGAGGAATTTGTGTTTAGTAGCTATAGAGTTTCAGTGTTAAAAGATGAAAAAGTTCTGGAGATCTCTTGCTCAGCAATGAGAAAATACTTAACATTACTAAACTATACACTTAAAATGGTTAAGATGGTAGCTTGAATGTTATATGATTTCTACCATAATAAAAAAAAGATTTATAACAAAGCTATAAGAAGAAATTGAATTCCCAATGAGAAAAGAAAATGGGCAAAAACCAAATGCTTAATAGGAAGTAAACATGTCATCTAAGAAGGGCAAATTAAAGCAACATTGAGATGTACTTTTTGCTTAATAAATTGTCTGTTTTCTAAATTTTAATATTTCATGTTAGAGGAAGTTGCAGGAAAACGGGTATCATTACACATAGCAGGCGGAATTTTAAATTGGTTAAGCTTTCTGGAAGGCAGTTTGGCAAACGTTATAGAAAAAGTAATACAATATTGCATATCCTTTGATTTGAATTTATTTCTAAAAGTTGACCTGAAGGAGTTCATTAAAAATGTGTACAAAGATTTTTGTACAAAAATATAGACCACAGGTTATTTTATAACAAAAAGCCCTTAATTTTTTTTTTTTTTTTTTTGAGACAGAGTCTCACTCTGTCTCCCAGGCTGGAGTGCAGTGGCGCGATCTTGGCTCACTGCAAGCTCCGCCTCCCGGGTTCACGCCATTCTCCTGCCTCAGCCTCCCCAGCAACTGGGACTACAGGCGCCCGTCCATCACCACACCTGGCTAATTCTTTTTGTATTTTTAGCAGAGATGGGGTTTCACCCTGTTAGTCAGGATGGTCTTGATCTCCTGACCTCGTGATCCACCCGCCCCGTGATCCACTCCTCCCAAAGTGCTGGGATTACAGGCGTGAGCCACCGCGCCTGGCCAAAAGCTGTTAAATTTTAAGCTTGTGTGGTAGTGTCATGGAGACACACTGGGAATTTTTGTTTGGGCCTAAAGCTAGGAGACATCTTTTATTCGTGTGTTTTCTTCACACCTGTATGCAGTGCATCCGGAAGTCTTGTCTTCTAAGGTGGATGCTGCTGCTCCACTGCTGTTATCTCAGCCAGGACAGCGCCAGACATTTCCCCAGGTGCACTCCCTTCTCCCACTGCTGCAGCATGCTTGCAGCGGGGCATCTGGCTCCTGGAATAGCTCACTCTCTCCAGCCTCCCTTGCAGCTAGATGTCAGCACTTGGTAGAGCTCCTAGGCTGATGGGGTGGGAGCAGAGGTAGGGTGCTCGGGAAGGAGAGAAGCACACTCTCCCCTTTTCCACTTATAAAATATATTATAAAAATTTATAGGCCGGGTATGGTGGCTCATGCCTGTAATTCCAGCACTCTGGGAAACTGAGGCAGGTGGATCACCTTAGGTCAGGAGTTCAAGACCAGCTTGGCTAACATGGTGAAACCCCATCTCTACCAAAAATACAAAAATTAGTGGGCATGTTGGCAGGTGCCTGTAATCCCAGCTACTCAGGAGGCTGAGGCAGGAGAATCACTTGAACCTGGAGGGCAGAGGCTGCAGTGAGCTGAGATTGCACCACTGCACTCCAGCCTGGCGACAGAGTGAAACTCTGTCTCACAAAAAAATAAATAAATAAATAAATAAAATTTTAAAGTAATACAATATGCGATATTGTATTACCTTTTAAATAATATTTGCCAAACTGACTTCCAGAAAGCTTAACAAATATAAAATTCCACCTGCTTTGTGTAATGATTCCCATTTTCCTGCAGCTTCATTAACATGGAATGTGAAAATTTAGAAAGTAGCTGTAACATGGGTATGGTTGTCATTAATTTGGAGTAAGAGTGATTAGGTCAATGTCTTTGGGGTTACTCAAAGCAACAGGATGGAAAGAGGCCACACCCTGACCTGCCGGAGCCACCTTATGAGTCCCAGGCTGCTGAAATTTACACAGGATGTCGAGAGCCAAGTAAACATCAAGCTCTCTAGGTCAGCATTATAAAGTCTTTTTTTTTTTCTTCCAGAAGCCAGAATACAGTCCCCTAATGCTCTCTTACCCTCTTGAATTCATTCTCCATGTACAGCCACACTGATCTTCTGAAAGCGTAAGTCAGTCCATGTGGCTCCCCCGCAGACGCCTCACGGGGGCTTCCCACTGCATGCAACAATCCAACTCCTCAGGCTGGCTTCCAAGCTCCCCGGAGACTAAACTCAACTCACTCACCGCCCGCCGTCCAGGCAGGCTGGCTTTCCTCCTTTTCTCTTCTGTTTCAGGGACGTGTGGCATCAATCAATCAATCAATGAATCAATCAATGGATGCATGGATCTAACATTTCTTTCACACATCTCTCAACAAAGATAGAATGAACAAAAGCAAAGTAATTTAATAATGGCAACCACATCCCTTGCATGACAACACTCTTTTACCAAATAAGTCAAGGTTAAAGTAAGGCACCTTGCTCTGGGAAGAGTCAGAATGCTCCCAGTACAAAAGGTTGATCAGACAGGACTCTGGCTCTCCACTTAGTTCCAGAGGAAGCTGCTCAGAGCCCATTGCTAACAACTCAGCCCACCATGTTTCATTTTGTTTTGTTTTGAGATGAAGTCTCCGTGTGTCACTCAGGCTGGCTCTGTCACCTCCACCTCCCAGGTTCAAGCCTTTCTCCTTGCTATTCCCTCAACGCTCAAGCGTTGCTATTCCCTGTGACAGAACCACTAAGAGTCCAAAGGAAAGGGCACGACCGTCTCACACAAAACAATAACCAGGGATGCTCAGTGCCTCTCAAATAAAACAGTAAGAGCCCTTGTCAACTACAGTAACCCAAACGCCTTTACATTTCCTAATGAACAACAAACACAGTAACCAGTTTAGTGTCACCAGGCAGCTGTCCAGTTGCCTTGGATTGAAGAACTGATTTCTGGTGTTCTTTCAGCATGGCATAAGAACGCTGGTCAATATTTTCTAACTGGTGGTCTGGGGCACCAGGCAGGTGTTTCACAAATGTCTCGGCGCATTTCATTCCTATACTCGATCTACATGGACTCCACAGCTGTGTGGGTTCGAGATCCACAGGTGTCGACATCGTAAGCTACAAACACATCTATCAAGTCATCAACAATTTTCACACAATAGCAGACCCAAATCTAATACCTGGAGGTTATTTTCTAAATAATATGTTAAGAAAATTGTTTTATAGATCGATCGATCGATTGATACACACACACACTCACACACACACACACAACAATTGGCTATTGGCAGTCAACTTTGTGGTTTCATTTCTCACTGTCCTGGTTCTTGGCTCCTCCACTTTTCCCCACCCAGCCTGGGTCACCGTAAGGCGCCTTCCCCTCCCCCAACAGCCCAAGGCGGGGCTTGCTTACCATAGCCAATGGCACAACTCCAATCAAGTCCTTTGGGCTCACATAGATCTTCGACACTCCCAAGTCAGACGTGATGTCTCCAGGGTACTCGACCTGCCACGTGACCAGCTGTGTGGCTGGCAGGTCACTGGGCTCTTCCACCTCCACGTCGATCTGCATGACCTCGTAGGAGGCGCCATCCGCACTGGAGAGAAGACACAGAGGAGAACAGCTTTCAGGGACTGATGAGGCATAGCATGCTTGGCAGAGAGTGGGCAGCCCTTGGCCATTTCTCTATGTACCTCCACACGGAATCAAGTGCACACATCTCTGCAAAGAGCATTCAGAGATGCCATTCCAAAATGAACAAAGGAGCTTTAATATGCTCTGCAGCATTTGCCTGGTCTTAGATACTATCACTCCAGGTTCCAAAGTCCTTCTGTCTGTGGGCTGCTCAGCTGCCCCAGAGCAGGTATTTGTGGATAATTATAGGAAATAGTGATTGCATTTCTTAAATGCTTCCTTTCCCATTCTCCATTTAGGAGAACACGTTTCCTCACTCTCACAAATGTCTATGCAATTTCTATTGGATTTTCCAAAGCCGTAGCCAGATTGAGTTGGGTGCACAGAATTTTAAGGATGTCTGAGGGTGACACGGTTCTGTTATCTGGCAGTGGTAAGACAGAATTGCACAGAAACAGGCAAGGTGTGCACAACAAAGCAGGGTCAAGGGGGTCGCTGTGATGAGCATGGAGAAGTCACCAGATACTACATGGAGATGGGAGTCATTGAGACAAAGACTGGTTGCTAGACACTCAATTTTCCTATAAGCATACATCTAGAAACAAATCCACCTGGGACTTTCTGGATTATTTTTATAGCTATTTAAGTAATTAATTAGCTGGCTGCCTCATCATAGTGATTTTTGGTATAATGTCTGTGCTCTTCTATGTGACAGGTAGAAAAATGTAGATTTAGTGCCTGCCTTTGCCTGAAGAGGAAATGAACAGGGTGTAGGTGAGAATGAATAGAAGAACCCAAGGAGAGAGGTGCATTTTAAAGCCTCAGTGGACAAACAACATCTACCTGTCAGATCTATTTCTAAAAGATTTGAATTTAAACCTTTGAGAAATGATCATTGAACTCTGACATTTAGGAGAATAAGGTTTGTTCTTTTATATGTGACAAAGCTGTTGACATTTTTTATCACACCGCCAAACTCACCCAAGTTTATCAGTAAGAAGCTCTGAGATAAATGGTGGGGCTTCCAGGGAGCCTTGTTCTCAATGGGAGGGATGAGATGGAAAACTAGAATAACAGGGGAGATTCTAATTAACAGAGAAGGAGGGAGAGAGAGAAAGGAGGAGAGAGGGAGAAATGGAAGGAGAGAGAGAAGTAGAAAGAAAGGAAAGATGAAAGCGATCACTTGAGGTCAGGAGTTTGAGACCAGCTTGGCCAACAGGGCAAAACTCTATCTCTACTAATAATAAAAAAAATAGCTGGGTGTGGTGGCGTGTGCCTATAATCTCAGCTACTCAAGAGGCTGAGGCATGAGAATTGCTTGAACTTGGGAGGCAGAGGTTGTGGTGAGCTGGGATCACACCACTGCACTCTAGCCTGGGAGACAGAATGAAAATAGGTGTCAAAAAAAAAAAAAAAAAAAGAAACGAAAAGAAAAGAAAAATAAAGATAGAAGAAGAGGAAGGGGAGGGGGGAAAAAAGAGGAGAAGAAGGAGGGGGCCAGAGAAATGAGACGAGAAGAACTGCCAAAAGAAAGAACCCCAATTGCAGAGATCAGCCTTCTGCTTAAACAGCCATCTCTTCCAAGGAACGGGATAGCTGAAATGGGCTATGAGTAATGATGGGGAAAAGATGACGGCTGGCTTTTGAATCCTACAAAATGCACTCCCTCTTGGCTCCTGAAAGAAAGTTGTTTAACTCTTTGAGAAGCAGCTGGTGTGATAAAAATCGTCAACAAATCCCCTAGGCCACGGTGGGCTTTTTTCTCCCACACCTTTCTTTTCATAAGAAAAGATGCCACTGTCTCTTTGAAGCCCCTGACTGGCATTTCTACTCACAGCTAGAAGGAACCTGGAATTAAGATGCTAGAATGCATCTTTGTTTTTGTATTTGAACTTGACAAGAATTTTGGTATGACTTTCCCGTTGATGAAATGGGATAATCTCCATCTTGTCTGTGTTGGGTCTCGCCTTCTGTTTTTAATCACGAGAAAAGGAATTTACAGAACAGAATTAGCATTACTTGCGTTTGAGCCGTGTGAACACCTGCATGAGTGTAGTTCACTGCACACAATAACTGCTTATATGTCCACATCACGTTCTACCCCTATTTCCTTCCAGGTTCCTTGACCTCAAATAAAAACCGACAAACCTTGCCTGCACTGGAATACTGGACGCCTCCCACCCCACAGCCCCATTCTTCTGTTTTTAGAGTTTGTTTTATCAGAAAAACCTTATAAATCTCTTCATATATGTAAGTTCTTGCCATCCTAGAAGACCAACCTATAATACCATTCAATAAATATAAGGTAAAAGTTCTCCATTTACTTCATCTAATTTTACTCTTCCTATAACCTTACATGATTGTTCTATACATTTAGATTTTCCCTTCTTCTTTAGATCCTTTTCCCGGCCAAGATGTAAAAGCAACAATGTCTTTTTTCAGCCAATTGCCCTCTCTATGAAGTGGTGATGAAAATATTCTAAGTTGGGAATTCTTAACCCAGGACTACACCAACGTTCAGGAAGGTTGTACCTAGAACTTGTGGGGAAAATGCTGCATACATGTGATTTTGTGGAAAGACTCCTTAGCTTGCATGAGTTCCCCAATAGTTCATCTACAGTAGGGTTGTGGACCGAGTTCCCCAATTGTTCATCTACAGTAGGGTTGTGGACCGAGTTCCCCAATAGTTCATCTACAGTAGGGTTGTGGACCGAGTTCCTGCGTTCCCTAATAGTTCATCTACCGTATGGTTGTGGACCGAGCTCCTGAGTTCTCCAATAGTTCATCTACAGCAGGGTTGTGGACCGAGTTCCCGAGTTCCCCAATAGTTCATCTACAGTAGGGCTGTGGACCGAGTTCCCGAGTTCCCCAATAGTTCATCTACAGCAGGGTTGTGGACCGAGTTCCTGAGTTCCCCAATAGTTCATCTACAGTAGGGCTGTGGACTGAGTTCCTGAGTTCCCCAATAGTTCATCTACAGTAGGGCTGTGGACCGAGTTCCTGCATTCCCCAATAGTTCATCTACAGTAGGGCTGTGGACCGAGTTCCCAAGTTCCCCAATAGTTCATCTACAGTAGGGTTGTGGACCGAGTTCCCGACAATTTCCTTTATAAATGCTGCACACAGTGATCTCATCAGAATATCTCATTATGTGTATCTTAGTGCAATAGTGGGAATTTGAATTTTAATGCCCCTTTGTAAATATTTAGCACTGAACAGCTTCCCAAACTCTTGCATAGTAGGCAATATTTATCACTTCTTCACGTTTTACTCTAAAGACAAGGACTGTGCCCTTGCAGTTTGTGTGTCCAACAGATGGTACATATCCTGAAAACAACGGTCACGTTTATCTTGTTGCATTTTGTGCTTATAAGAGAATGTAACTCCTGATATTCATCAGAAGGGAATCTGATGTATTATAGGAGATAAATACAGTCAGTCAAAGAGAAGTTTATAAAATATATCTGGTTAAAGCAGTGATTTTTCCACCTCCCATGCATTCAAATTGCCTGGGAACTTTACAAATAAAGCAATGTCCAGGCATCATCCTTACAGATTTCTGATTGTTCCTGAGTGGAGCCAGGGTCAAACGTGTTTGAACAAGAGCAACTCCATCTTGAGTGAGGCTGGAAAATGAGGCTGGCCCTTGCTGGGCGGCATTCCCAGAAAGTTAGGCATTCCTAGCATCTAGATGTTTACGGTTAAGGGAAGAAATTAATAATGTTTACTAAACAGACCCAGACTTGGGAGTGTCCAGATATCCTAAAATCTGGAGAAAAAAGACATTCCTAATTTTGCTTTACAGAAAATAATGTTGCCAGGCGCGGTGGATCACTTGAGGTCAGGAGTTCAAGATCAGCCTGGTCAACGTGGTGGAGCCTCACCTCTAAGAAAAAAAAAAAAAAAAAAAAAAACTAGCCGGGTGTAGTGGCATGTGCCTGTAATCCCAGCTACTGGGGGGGCTGAGGCAGGAGAATTGCTTGAACCCAGAAGCAGAGGTTGCAGTGAACTGAGATCGTGCCACTGCACTCCAGCCTGGGTGACAGCAAGACCTTGTCTCGAAAAAATAAATAAAGATAAGAATATTGATTCTTGTAAAACATAGTAATTAAGAAAATTAATCCTTTATCACAAACCCTTGTAGCACATTTCTCCATATACACAAACATTGTACCCAGGGTGGACACCTTCCTCCTCTTACTTCCGGAATGTCCTACTCTGTCTATGGAGTAGCTGTCCTTTTGCCACTTTACTTTCTTAATAAACTTGCTTTTGCTTTGCACTTTAGACTTGCCCTGAATTCTTTCTTGCATGAGATCCAAGAACCCTCTCTTGGGGTCTGGATCAGAACCCCTTTCCTGTAACATATTTCTGGTGACCACAGATGGGACTATAGTGCAGAAACCCTGACCCAATGACTACCTTTGGATAAATGTTGGGGTCCTGTAACATATTTCTGGCAAACCCCAAATGGATGATACTGAAGAGACCCCCGACCCAAAGGAAAATCATCTGCATGCAGCAATTGGCTAACTTTGGGTAAGTGGGGTGCATATACCTGGGTACAGAATGGGATTGGGTTACAGACACAACTTAGGGGAGTCAGAGTCTCTCCCAAGACAAAGTGGGTTAGAGGTCCCTCTTAATGAAAGGCAAGGATGCTTGACCAACCTTGGGTTAGAGGCCCGACCTTGGGTTAGGGCCCGACTTAGTTGCGTCTAAGATTGAGGGGGTTAGAGGCTCCTCTCAGTAAAGTCCATATCGGCTAAAAGCAGGTTTGGCACCGCAGGCTCTGCTCTTCATATTAACCTGCCTTTTTCTGTTGCTGCATGAATCAATTTCTTGGTTGCTGTCTCTGTTTCACTGTCATTTTCAGGAGACTTTATTTAAAGGGTCTTAGGGATTTTAACTTAGTCTTTTCCTATGTTCCTCCCGATTTCCAAGTGTCTGCCTGCAAAACAT